AGACCAAGCTGCTGTGATCTCGCAATAAGTATATTTAATTTATCTTGCATCTGATTCCGTGAATGGGACAGAAGATCAATATCATCAGCGAAGTCCAGATCATCAAGCTGTTTTGTAGGGGTCCACTGAATTCCATTCTTGGTGTTAGCAGTTACTGTTTTCATAGTCCAGTCTATAGCCAGTAAAAAATAAGAGAGGCGACAAAAGACATCCCTGTCGCACACCTGTTTTTATTTCAAATGCATCTGTTAGCTTTCCCTCATGAAGAACTCGACATTTCATGTCTTTATATGTTGCCTTTACTAAGTTGATAATTTTCTGTGGGATTCCATAGTGCCCCATCAATTTCCAGAGAAATTCCCTATCAATGCTGTCAAATGCTTTTTCATAGTCTGTAAATCCAATGTAAAGTGGTGAGTTTAGTTCAATGCTTTGCTCTATTATAATACGTAATGTGGCTATCTGATCAGTACAGGATCTGTTTGACCGAAAACCTGCCTGCTCATCTCTTAGCATTTTATCAATAGCATCTTTTAATCTTTCCAAAATAATTTTACTTAATATTTTTCCAGGAACTGACAGCAACATAATTCCCCTATAGTTTTCACACTCCTGTAGATCACCTTTTTTGGGCAGTTTCACAAGATATCCTTCTCTCCAGTCTGCTGGTATTTCTTCGGTCTCCCAGACTTTACTGAATAATCGATGTAGCAATTCTGTTGATGTGTTTATGTTGGTCCTGATGGCTTCAGCTGGGATACCATCTGGGCCTGTCGCCTTTCCTTCCTTGAGAAGATTTATAGCTTTTCTAATTTCCTCTTTGGATGGTATCTCACAGTTGATATCCAGTTCCATTTCTAAAGGCTGGATATCTGGGGGAACCTCTGGGCCTGGTCTATTTAGAAGTATTTCAAAATATTCAACCCATCTGTCCATTTGATCTTTAGTGTTAGTAAGTACCTTTCCTTGACTATTTTTTATTGATCCAGTTGGCTGACTATATTTACCTACTAATTTTCTTGTGTTACTGTAAAGTTCTCTGAGGTTTCCTTTTGCTGCTGCTGTCTCTGCTTCTTGTGCTAGATCATTTAGATATTTCACTTTATCTGCCCTTATATGCCTCCTAACTTCCTTGTTGTAGTTTTGCTATTGTTTAATTCTGCCTTTTTACTTTTCCTATCTTCAATCAGTTTAATGGTTTCTGGTGTTTTCCATGCTTTATGTTTCCTTTCTTGCCAAGAACTTCTACGCAAGATTCATTCCAGATTCCTTTGATCTGATCCCAGCAGACTTCTGTGTTGACATCTTCAGCTAACTGCTGCAACACCTGGTACTTTTAGAGACCGTAACTGAGAACTGTTCCTTAATTTCTTTATCTCTGAGAAAGCCTACATTATATTGGTTTCCAATAGCAAACTACTGGACGTAAACTTGTCTAGGAAAACCACAACAGCCAAATACATTTCTGGTGTTGTTTCTGCAACGTCCCGTAAAAAGGATCCGCACGCACACACACACACACACACACCCCACACACACCCCACACACCCCACACCCACCCCACACACACACACCCACCACACACCCACCACACACCCACCACACACTCACCACACACTCACCACACACTCACCACACACCCACCCACCACACACCCACCCACCACACACCCACCCACCACACACCACACACACACCCACCCACACACACACACCCACCACACACACACACACACCCACCCACACACACACCCACCACACACACATACACACCACACACCACACACACATCCCCCAGTTATATATATATATATATATATATATATATATATATATATATATATATATATATATATATATATATATATATATATATATATATATATATATATAGTGAAAAGCTAAGAATGTTATGTTACTAGACACTATTTTTAAATGGATGTGTTTTATCCAAGTGCTTTTTGTAATTTTTGTAATCTATTTGTCGTAATTGGCGGAAAAAAAAAGGGGGGGGGGGGGTTATGGCGGTCTAATGGAAATATTTTCAACCTAAAAAATGTTAAAAACTACCGGGCTAATTTGTCAGCCACATAGCAGCGTAATATTCAGTGTAACTTATATTCTAGCACCACGCGCCATTGTAAGGCTCCTTCGTTTGAAAATAAAATAATTTTAAAAAAAAAAATGTTTGTAGTTTATACATTGAGATTTTACTCTTCCTGTGTGGGATCCAAAGCGCTATTGTGGTAGGAAACAGCAACAGACCAGCCGACCTCTAACAAGCATGTCGTAAAAGTACATTAAATAGGCGTGTTTTCTTCGAAGTCGGAGTGAATCTGCCTGAGAGACAATGGGGCCAACAGTCTGCATACGGATAATCCAAATAATTACCACGGATATGCGTTTAAAAGTTTAGTCCCGGAAGTTGACCAATAACCGGAAGTTTGAGCAGGAGCTTACATGACGTGAATGCCAAGAAAAAAAAATTATACCTTATCTTTTAACGTTGTATTTAATATTCTTTGAGAATTAACCTGTACAAAAGTTGTTTTCAAATGAAATTATTGTGAATTAGCAACGACAACAGAACAGATAACTGCAATCATAAAATGGAAATACTTGTAGACAGAACGTTCATATTGAGGAGTCTGTGTGCACTCCAGTGATAAATAAATATTTATCCTTCCATGCCGCTGTGCAGGGTATAATGATTGAGGTGAGTAAACATCATTGACCGTTTCCATTCGCTTTTTTCTAAGCGCAGTTATTTGTTTTCGGCAGCAGAGCAATTATAATCAGCTATATTTATTACCCAAATAAAAGAAAAAGGCAGATATTAAATATGCAAACATATATTACATAAATTTGTTTGTTTTCATTACGACACATGTTGAGAGTTTTGAGATAGATTGTTTTTTCTTCGCCTGTTGTGAAAAGTACACATCGCTTGCCGAAGCCTTTGTCCGACTGTCTAATCATTTTAGTCTTACAGTCATGGTAAACAAACGTGCACGTACTGATTGGCACTCGTAGACAGAAGTGGAAAGATAGAAGGGCACACTAGCAACATTAATTTAGAAAGCAATAGTTACAATGATGGGAATCAAATTCGACACCTCCAAACGAGGCTGCTGGAGGAGAAAAAAAAGTTGACTAAGACGCAAGACCAACTAGGCATCCCTTCAAAATGTGTCCTTACAGCATTAGTTATAAACACATCGGACCGTAAAGATGTGTCTAAAATAAAAGGACAATTTAGAGATATGTCTTTCTTCGGTTCCACTTCAAATTTTCGAAAGCCAAGGGAACGGTTATATGACCGCGCACACACAACCACACATACACACACATGTAGACATAATGCACACATAATTCAAACATACCTGCACTTACACAGGCACACACATGCAGACCCACACAAAAAGACACACACACACATAACGTACAGACAGACAGACACATACACACACACATATATATATATATATTATAAAAATACAACCATGTAAACACGAGGGCTGCGGTAGCGTACTGACTAGACACTTGCCTGTCGGCTCGAATGTCTTGAGTTCAAATCCGCGGTAAGGCGAATTGTTGTCCTTCATACCTGACATTGGTTCCCGGATGACCCATCTTAAAATGGGAACCAGGTAATCTTCTGTGAAGCAAAGGCGACATCTCGTATCGAGTGTCAATGAAGTAAAGGACTTTTTTTCACACCTTCAGACGCACTGATCATTAAGGGCTTAAACCCATATTTTATAGACAGCGCGCGGTGGATGATGTAACAACATCACACCGGCCGCCTTTACTCAGGACCTTGCTTTGTACCCAACTATGGCGGTTTCGATACTCAGGTCTTTACTTTGTACCCATCTATGGCGGTTTCGATACTCAGGACTTTACTTTGTACCCACCTATGGCGGTTTCGATACTCAGGTCTTTACTTTGTACCCACCTATGGCGGTTTCGACATTGAGGTCTAAGTCAATAGCGTGTGGACGGCTATAAAAACATAATGATATCTTGTCCGTTGAGTCTTCCAGTCAGAGTTGGTTCTGTATTTCGTTCTCCGATTATAAAGAGATTGGTCAATACGTTCGGTTATGTTTGTTGGCCTGTTCCGTTCTCACGGTTAAGGTATCTAACCACACTTGATGTTGTCTTTAGTACTACAGAAAATATAGTTCTAGCACTATACGGGACTATGCGTTAACAGCATGAAAGAGGTCTTTTACATACGTAAGTACATAAAAACACAAATACATAGAACATACATATACACATACACACATAAATACACATAATCATACATGTATATATTATACACATACGCAAAATTGCAAACACATAAATATGTACATAATACATAAACACACTCACACACATACATACACACATACACACACATATACATACACATATATATATACGCACCAAATTAGATAAATAATTAAATACACGCATGCATTCATACCTACATACATAAGTACATGTATACCTAGATACACACATACAAACACAATCACACATACATACATACGCCTACACACATACATACGCCTACACACATACATACGCCTATATACATACATACGCCTATATACATACATACGCCTATATACATACATACGCCTATATACATACATACGCCTATATACATACATAAGCCTATATACATACATACGCCTATATACATACATATGCATACATACATACATGCATACTTACATACGCCTATATACATACAAACGCATACATACGCCTGCCTGCCTACCTACCTACATGCATCCATCCATCCATCTAACCATCCATCCATACACACAATATACGTAGGTACCTACAGATGAAGGCGGTATACATAAACAGACAGACAGACAGGCAGGCAGAAGGACAGACAGACAGACACAGGGTAGATAATCAGGAAGGTAGGTAATTATGCAGACAGACAACGGCACTCAGGATACATAAACAGACAGAGATGCACACATACAGACATACCAGTATGTTTGGTCGCTTCCACAAACGCCTGTATGCCCTTCTCTCCGTAAGTTCCCGAATCCGCTAAAGTATTGACGTATGTCCAACCCAAAGCTCGAGCAATGTCGGCCATCGCTTGCGCCTGGTAGTTGTCAGGGGGCACAACTCTAGAAAAGTACTCAAATCTGGTTTTATCGCTGAGGTCTGCACTTGTTGAAGCATAGCTGATCTGTGGAATCTGCGGAGGAAATATATCGGTGTCTTTGAGCAAACATCCATAACAAACTTTGATTTTTAAAGGGTAAACGGTAGGTGCAGCGCTAACTCCGTATTCGTTCACTTTGTTATACGTCCTGTTCAGGAGCGAACATTTTTCCTTTGTTTGGAATTTTCCCGCCTGCTAGAACTTGTATGAGCCAAAATGTGTCGAGATACCGCTCTCTCTTGAATTAACAGTCCCGGGTAGATGTCAATGACTTTGCAGAGAAGTATCGCCCATACAAAGACCAAAGAACCGTCACAGCATTGTCTGGGATGACCCGATAATGTCACTTTTCAAAAACATCCCGAGAAAGCAGAAGCAGTTCTCTGGACAGATTTTCAGTTGAACTCTATCCTGGTGAGCCTTATCCAGATACCAGTTAAAAAAGAAAAAAGACAAAAAGACAGAAAGAAAGAAAGAAAGAAAGAAAGAAAGAAAGAAAAAGAAAGAAAAAAGAAAGAAAGAAAAAGAAAGAAAGAAGAAAGACAGACAGACAGGACAGACAGACAGACAGACAGACAGACAGACAGACAGACAGACAGACAGACAGACAGACAGACAGACAGACAAAGAAAGAAAGAAAAAAAAGAAAGAAAGAAAGAAAGAAAGAAAGAAAGAGAAAAAAAGAAAGAAAGAAAGCAGAAAAAAAAAGAAAGAAAGAAAGAAAGAAAGAAAGAAAGAAAGAAAGAAAGAAAGAAAGAAAGAAAGAAAGAAAGAAAGAAAGAAAGAAAGAAATAAAGAAAGACAGGAAGGGGGAAGAACGAAAGGAAACGCCAAAAAATTTGTGAAGTTTTTTATGGAAGGGAACAGTCCTTCTTGAGTTGAGTTGATTCAAGAACAGACATCATAGCACTCAGGCCATTTCCTTTTGCGCTCCATCCCCCTCTTCAGCAGCCATCGCAGAGTTTCAATACCAATTTTGCCAGTAGCAATCTGATTATACGTCCGTCTTGCCTTTCCTCAAAGCGTCGAATATCGGCCAGATCCCCTCGTCGCTCCCCACTGGATTACTTACTCTCACCAGACTGTTGATCCATTTGCTCCTCCGAATTGTACAAGTTCTTCCACGAGGCCCTAATCACGTCTGTTTCATCAGGCATCATTATTCCAACAAGCTGTGCAGAGCCACCCAGTCTGTCCGCCTGTTAATTTCTCAACACATCGGAATCACCTGGAGAAAAGATCCAGACAATGCTCTTCACCCGTGACCTCCGAAGCGAAGCATGCCACTCCTCCCCTCTCCCTACCATCCTAATAGGCCCTCGACTCTTCTTCTGAAGAAGGTAAAGGAATGTTACATGCACAGTCTTTGGCGACAGCACTAGCCTCAGACTCAAAGACACACCTTTCTTATATGACAACAGAAAATACTGACGAATATAACAGTTAATGGCAGAAATGGCAGAAAACCACAAGAAGTCAAAGAGATCGCACAGTTGGTCTAATGAATTAAAAGACATTCCACAGAGACACGGAAGGCCCCATCCTACCTATTGACCTATGTATCCAAACCTGTTCCTCCCCATGATGTTCAATTTCAAAGGTAAACGACGACGACAGTGAAGCACTGAGAAAGAGCTAGTTGTCGACTAACAAAAGGACGGGAAAATAGCATCAAGAACATCAGCAGCATAAAAATATACGAGGTAGAGGAACAATGGCACAGCGTTCACACCGTTTGGACAATGCGTTCTGAGAGCCAACTTCTGCCTTCTTCTGACGTCTTGCAGTGCATGCCGGGATAGGTGCTGTTAACCTTTTATACAAATCTGTTCTTCCATAAAAATGGCCCTTTTCCACCAACCATGAGGCCCTAATCCCTCAGGTTCACGCCCTCTTACCCCCTCTACTGCCCCCGCCCCCACCCCTTTTCCCCCGTCTACACTACCCTAACAAGGTGGTAAAAACAGAAAGTTATTTTTTTTTTTTTTATAAACAACAACGACGTTTACAATGTTTATTAGTTACAAAAGGAAAGGTACCTAATTTATGATCGCCATTAACTCATTATTGCTACAAATCAATACGAAACCACGGTAATATTGCTTGAACTAATGCGCTTCGTCTGAGTGTAATGAACAGGCCACCGTGCGGATGTTAAAACCAAGGCCAGGCGTAGATGTAATATATGTAGATACTTGCAGACAACACAGTGGGTGGTCGCGGATTGTCGCTAAAGGCAGGTATTTTTCTGTCTAGGACCCCTTACTCAAACCAATCAATGTGTCTGAACAGAAAATTTCACAATAACCTGACGGGTGTGCCATTAGGATCCTTCGTCCCCTCTCTCTCTCTCTCTCTCTCTCTCTCTGTCTCTGTCTCTCTCTCTCTCTCTCTCTCTCTCTCTCTCTCTCTCTCTCTCTCTCATTATTTCGGTGCCATTATTTCTCTCTCGTTCATCCTCTCTCATCATTTGCGCTCATTTTCTTTCGCTCTCATACTTTCGCACTCATACTTTCGCACTCATACTTTCGCACTCATACTTTCGCACTCATACTTTCGCACTCATACTTTCGCACTCATACTTTCGCACTCATACTTTCGCACTCATACTTTCGCACTCATACTTTCGCACTCATTTTTTTTGCTCTCATAATGTTGTTCCCATTCTGTATCTCCCATTAGGTCTCTCTCAATCTGTCTCTCTCAATCTGTCTCGCTCATTCTGTCTCGCTCATTCTGTCTCGCTCATTCTGTCTCGCTCATTCTGTCTCGCTCATTCTGTCTCGCTCATTCCGTCTCGCTCATTCCGTCTCGCTCATTCCGTCTCGCTCATTCCGTCTCGCTCATTCCGTCTCGCTCATTCCGTCTCGCTCATTCCGTCTCGCTCATTCCGTCTCGCTCATTCCGTCTCGCTCATTCCGTCTCGCTCATTCCGTCTCGCTCATTCCGTCTCGCTCATTCCGTCTCGCTCATTCTGTCTCGCTCATTCTGTCTCGCTCATTCTGTCTCGCTCATTCCGTCTCGCACATTCCGTCTCGCTCATTCCGTCTCGCTCATTCCGTCTCGCTCATTCCGTCTCGCTCATTCTGTCTCGCTCATTCTGTCTCGCTCATTCTGTCTCGCTCATTCTGTGTCTCTCATTCTGTGTCTCTCATTCTGTGTCTCTCAGATTCTGTGTCTCTCAGATTCTGTATCTCTCGTTCTGTATCTCTCGTTCTGTATCTCTCGTTCTGTATCTCTCGTTCTGTATCTCTCGTTCTGTATCTCTCGTTCTGTATCTCTCGTTCTGTATCTCTCATTCTGTATCTCTCATTCTGTATCTCTCATTCTGTATCTCTCATTCTGTATCTCTGATTCTGTATCTCTGATTCTGTATCTCTGGTTCTGTATCTCTCATTCTGTATCTCTCATTCTGTATCTCTCATTCTGTATCTCTGATTCTGTATCTCTGATTCTGTATCTCTGATTCTGTATCTCTGGTTCTGTATCTTTCATTATGTATCTCTCATTATGTATCTCTGATTCAGTATCTCTCATTCTGAGTCTCTCATTCTGTATCTCTCATTCGGTATCTCTCATTCGGTATCTCTCATTCGGTATCTCTCATTCGGTATCTCTCATTCGGTATCTCTCATTCGGTATCTCTCATTCTGTATCTCTGACTCCGTATCTCTGACTCCGTATCTCTGACTCCGTATCTCTGACTCCGTATCTCTGACTCCGTATCTCTGACTCCGTATCTCTCATTCGGTATCTCTCATTCGGTATCTCTCATTCTGTATCTCTCATTCCGTATCTCTCATTCCGTATCTCTGATTCCGTATCTCTGATTCCGTATCTCTGATTCTGTATCTCTCATTCTGAGTCTCTCATTCTGAGTCTCTCATTCTGTACCTCATTCTGTATCTCTCATTCTGTATCTCTCATTCTGTATCTCTCATTCTGTATCTCTCATTTTGTATCTCTCATTCTGTATCTCTCATTTTGTATCTCTGATTCCTTATCTCTGATTCTGTATCTCTCATTCTGTATCTCTCATTCTGTACTCTCCTTCTCTCATTCTGTATCTCTCATTCTGTATCTCTCATTCTGTATCTCTCATTCTGTATCTCTCATTCTGTATCTCTCATTCTGTATCTCTCATTCTGTATCTCTCATTCTGTATCTCTCATTCTGCACGTCTATTTTTGTATCTCTAATTTGGCATCTCTCCTTCTGTATCTTTCATTCTGCATCGCTCATTCTGTATCTTTCATTCTGTATCTTTCATTCTGAGTCTTTCATTCTGTATCTCTCTTTCTGTATCTCTATTTCTGTATCTCTCATTCTGTATCTCTCGTTCTGTATCTCTCGTTTTGTATCTCTCGTTTTGTATCTCTCGTTTTGTATCTCTCGTTCTGTATCTCTCGTTCTGTATCTCTCGTTCTGTATCTCTCGTTCTATATGTCTCGTTCTATATCTCTCGTTCTGTATCTCTCGTTCTGTATCTCTCGTTCTGTATCTCTCGTTCTGTATCTCTCGATATGTATCTCTCATTCTGCACGTCTCTTTTTGTATCACTAATTCTGCATCTCTCATTCTGTATCACTAATTCTGCATCTCTCATTCTGTATCTCTCATTCTGTATCTCTCATTCTGTATCTCTCATTCTGTCTCTCTCATTCTGTCTCTTTCATTCTGAGTCTCTCATTCTGTCTCTTTCATTCTGTCTCTTTCATTCTGTCTCTTTCATTCTGTCTCTTTCATTCTGTCTCTTTCATTATGTATCTATGATTCTGTCTCTCTCGTTCTGTATTTCTCATTTTACGTCTGTCATACTATGTCTCTCTCATGTGTCTCCGTCCATAGGACAACTCATGATTATCATCGCATCTCGTTTAGCTGCGTGATTTCCTTTAGGTCTCCACAGGCTGTCCTACGTTTACGGTGTGTTAACTAATGTTTTCCTTTGGTGTCTTTACACAGCGTGCCGAAAAGTGGTTCGGGTTCGTTCGACAAGGTCAACACACTGCTTCCCAGACGAAACTAGCGGC